CTTGAAAGGGAGAGTTAATTAAAAGTAATACCCCGCCAAATCCGCCTTCGCTTTTCCTTCTTTCCCTTTGACACTGGGAGGGATTTGGGGAGCAGGTGTTGGGGGGGAGGGCTCAAGGGGGCTGCTCCAAGCAAGTTTTCCCCCTTGCCATGGATTTTGAGCATCATTTGCTTGATGGAGACCATGGAGCTCCCCCCTGCCAGGCTCTGTCCCTCCCAGATGGAGGGGATTGGGGCACTCACCTCATATTAGGGTACGAAGGGGTTCAGGCACCAAAATGTCTCCGTTGGTTGACATTCCTCCTCCCAGTGTGTGTAAAAATCTCTACTCTTCCAGCAAAGTTAAACTCCTTCAGGTTTCAGGAAGGCAGGCAGCTCCCCTGCGAGGGAGGCAGCAGCCACTGCTCAGCCCCATTAGCCATCAGAGACTCCACACCCCGGGGGTACCCAGCACTGGGGCTCTCAGACCTTCTGCATTACTACATCCCTGGCATTGGGACATGCAAGAAAACAGCAGTTTGTCCTTCCTGTCACTGCTGCTGCCGTGGGCACACCGTGGATGTGCCATGAGCGAGCAGGGAGCTGGCAGCAGCAGCAAGGCTCTGGTTCCTGGGGGCCAGCACCCAGCTCCGAGCTGTTTGGGGACCACCAGTGTGAAGATCTCTCACTGTCCCAGCCCTCCCACAGGGAAGGTCCTCATATCAGCAGGTGAGGAGAGCCCAGCAGCGTGGAGGGCAGAGGTAACTGGTACCCAAGAGCATCCTTGCTCCTCCGCTGGGATCGTTGCCTCCCCTCACCCTGGAGATCTGCTCCTGTATTTCCCTGTTCCCAACTGGGCTGCCCTTGGATTTGCACTTTTCTGATGTCTGTGATCCATGATTAGCTCTTGCCGTGGGGTATGACCTGACCTGCTTTAGCCATGAACTCTAGGCCAGGCTCACAACCCCTGGTGCATCCCCATCTCCCGGAGATGTGGCAGCCGTGGGACAGGACTTGGGCCAAGCACAGCGCTGCCACCTGCGTCTGCATCAAACCAGCACCTCAGCTCTGGTAGGGATTCCCAAACGGGTGGCAGAGGAGCTTTCTGGAAAAGGCTGTAGGTGATTTACGGCTCATGAGAGGGAAGGATTTGTGCCATCAAACTTACATTACAGCCCCCCCACGCCAGCCGAGCTAGCGAGGTCACGGAGACGGTGGTGATGCGGTAAATGAGCGAGGTCACGGAGACGGTGTTGATGCGGTAAATGAGGAGGGCTGGTAAGAGGCAGGGCAGAGCTGCCTGCTTTCCCGGAGCAGCTCATGCCCGAAAGCCCCCCAGCCCCGAACGGTGGAGAGCAGCAAGGAGATGCACACCACTGCCTGGGAACACAACGGAGCAGCACATCACAGCAAGTACCCCAGGGGTGAAGCCTGAGGCAGCCTGGGCGTCTGTCTGGGGAGATTTAAAACTCCACAGAAAGGGGGAAATAGAGGCAAAAAGATGTCCTTTGTATTTGTGGTTAAAAGTCTGTGCTCTAAAGAGAGTTGACCTCCATGGTGGGACAAATCAGGAGGGGTTTGTGAGGTCTTGGCTAACGCCCTCTGAGCATCTCTGCTCACCCTGTGCCCCAGCCTGGGCTGTCCAGGCAGAGGGACCAGGTGCCTGGTCACCAGCTGGGCTGGGGGTCAACCCCAGGGGACAATGGTCCTCGATGTCTGCTGTCCCCTCATGTGGATGTGGCCTGTGTGTCTCTGTCCAGATGTGTCCCCAGCTGTGGCCTGGCAGGAAATCCCTGTGGGGTGAGCAGGGATTTGGGTCTGATGGAGGGAAAATCAGGTGTCCCAGGGTTTCACGTTGCAGCTGGTCAAACTGTTGGGGAAAAGAAGAACCAAAAAGCACATCTGCTTGGCTGAGTGACCCCAAACTATGAGCCGCAGCAGCTCTCCCCCTCTCTGAGCTGGCGTGGGTCAGCCAGCCCCAAACCTCATCTCCTTGCACCCATTCACAAGATCCCCACCAACACCAGCTTGTTTTAAGTCTCCCAGTTTATTTTCGACATGCTGGGTAATGGTGTGTGAAGCCCATTGTGAAGGATATGCTTTTTTTCCCCTCCCTTAGGCAAAAGTGATGATGAGGACAGCATCTGCAAACTGGGCCAAGCCTCAGGGAAGGGTGCTGAGGATGGGAAGGATCACAAACGGCCCAAGAGACCCCGGACAATCCTGACCACACAGCAGCGGAGGGCATTCAAGGCATCGTTTGAGGTCTCATCCAAGCCCTGCAGGAAGGTATGGGGAGAAGGGCCCACGCTCAACCACCTCCAGCCCCCAGGGATGTCCTGGATGCTGGGCAAGTACTTGCCCCAGCTGCTCTGTCCCCTCCTAAAGTGCCCCTGAAAAGCTGAGCGGGCTGGGACACCGCTGTCATTCCTCTCTCCAAGGTGCGGGAGACACTGGCAGCCGAGACGGGGCTGAGCGTCCGAGTGGTGCAGGTCTGGTTCCAGAACCAGCGAGCAAAGGTGGGTGCATGGGGGTGTCCCACCACCAGTAGCCAGTGCTGGGGCTCTCCTCCCTCCACACTCTGCCCAGGGTAAGATTTCACCCCATTTTTTCCCCCTTTTCTTCCCCAGATGAAGAAGCTCGCCAGGAGGCAGCAGCAGCAGCAGCAGGATCAGCAAAACACCCAGCGCCTGAGCTCAGGTACCCCCCAACAGGTCTCCCCACTTCCCAGCCCTCTCTGGGCTTCCCAAGGGAGCTGAGCCCCCCAAAAAGCAGCAGCCCAACTGCATCCATGGCTTTCTCTTTTCTTCCAGCCCAGACGTCAGTGCAGGGCTGGAGGGGATGCTGAACCCCTACACTGCTCTGCCCCCGCCCCAGCAGCTCCTGGGGATGGAACAAAGTGTCTATGGCTCCGACCCCTTCCGGCAAGGCCTCACCCCACCGCAGATGCCTGGAGACCACATGCACCCCTACGGTAAGGCTCCGGGGTTGGCCTCTTGCCTTCTCTCCATCAAAGAGATGCTGGGCCATGGCGGGGGGCTGTGTGGTGGGGGATGCAGCAATTTCTGGAAAGACACCAGCCGCCTCTTCCCTAAAGCCTTACACTGCAAAAGCTGGGCATACTGGGCACTGTCAAGGTGCTGGAGGAGAAAGCAGGCTCTGAAGTCCTTCTACTCTTTTTCTGCTTCCAAAGGTGCCGAGCCCCTCTTCCACGACTTGGATAGTGATGATACCTCACTGAGCAACCTGGGCGACTGCTTCCTCGGCACAGCAGACTCGGGGCCGCTCCAGGCACGAGTGGGGAACCCCATTCCCCCCCCATACTCCATG